CTTGACTACCTTAGTGCAAATAGGGGGCAGAAATCTAAATATGAATTTAATTATTATTATCATACAGAATTAATAATAATAATATAGTTTTATAAAATGTCTTATAGCGACCCAAATTGTGATTATTTTTAGRATTATAATTTAATATTTAGGTAATTTATTTTTTGTTTTCCGAAAATGTCAGGTTTTTTGGAAATCTTTTATATTAATATTCAACTCAATTTAGGTATTTTATTCTAAGGTTCTCTGATGCCGCTTTAAGGCTTTAAACCCACCCTGGGTCTAACTTTTGTTATTCCTACCTATAGTTATAGGYAATTCRATTTATTTGTAACAAAACCGAACCTACTGCATATTTGCTGATGTATCTTCAAAACTTTTCAACTGTCTACAGTTATTTTTATTTTATAGCTATTTCATTGTGTTAAAACGATTTTTCCGAATGGTCCTTAAAGATTCAAAAGAAGTTTAAAAGTTGATTTGTTGATGTGTTTTTTTACACAGACATTTAAACGTCATATCAATTTTTCAATACTGTGCTAYAGCCTATATACTACGTCTATATTATGATGGTGTTAAAACACTCGCAGTATATAGCTTGAGAATTTAATAMCRATTTAATTTCAAACCATTTTAACGCCATYATATAAACGTAGTAATAGATACCAAATATTACAACATAGTTGTATGGATTTCGATTTGTCATTTAACAGGATATCTGAWAGGTCATAGGTAGGTACTATGYAAATACCTAGGTACTATATAATTGTACCTACTTTAAGTACAAACTAAATACATTGACAGTAAATACTAAAAWTTAAAAGTATGTRAGATAAACATTGAAGCATGATTAGTATGAGTCAATTTATTTTATAGATAGAYATTAGGATTCTGCAATGTACTCAGTGTGMTTTATGTTCTGAGCAACATTGTTGGTATGCAAAGCTAATGCTGCAGTTCGGCACTCTTCTTCTAGAACACCAGCAAAAACCTCAAAGTGATGGTTTATTCCTTTGAGGAGATGTATGCTAACTGATCCACCTAAGCCTCCGGGTCCACTGGCATCCTCATATCCATAGAAAACTCTTCTCGCTCTGCTGTGCACCAATGCCATCGCACACATCACACATGGTTCTTTGGTTACGTAGACATCATATCCTGTGCATAAGTATGGCCCAGTCTTGTCATCATTGATCCTAGATGTTTTAGCTATAGTAGATGAGGGGTTCCACGCTCCACCTCCTTGAGTCTTGGCCACTTTATCTACCACACACATAATTGCATGCTTTACGGGGTGTTCGGCACGAAAATCACCACTTTGGGCTACAATCAAATYGTTTAAAGGATTGACTACCACAGCACCAACTCCACCAGTTGCACATGCCAATGCCATTCTCATGTATCCATCAATAGTGGCAAGTTCAAGTTGGTTAAAAAAATCACCACTCAATATTGACTCTAGCCGTTTGTCTGGATGAAAGTTGCATGGCCACAGCTTACGAGCTTGTAGGTTCTGGCTACATGTTTTTGGCATGCAAGCCGGGACTGGTATGATTTCAGGCTGACCTGATAGGCCAGCAAAATTAAATCCTTTACTTTCCAATTCCGCCACACACTCTTCTGGATTTAAATCTTTGGCCAACATTAGTATTATSGTTTGATTTTTAACACGTTTAAGATGAGTCAATGACTTTATCACAGACAATTGTCCAAGACTCTTAACAATCTTGCTGGTTGAGGTTCGATCAATAATAGTGTCTACAAACACATTCACTGTAGTAATATTGTTGGTTGTCACATTCTCTGGCAATACTGGTCTCAATGCCCAATTCATTGGAAGTCTAGATC